ATTTTGACATCACATTTTGGGGTAAAAAAGTGCGTCTTATACACCGAAGAATACGGTAAACATATTATTTCAAACCTTCATATTTTTTGTTACATTTTTTTAAAATTGGTCTTAAACTTTTGTAGCTTATTTTAATCAAACACTGGATTTAATCTTTGTTTTGATATTATGATTTTTTAAACTTCTCGTAATAATAATAATGAAACGAGCTTATTTGCAGTTGATTTGGCATAATCTCTCCAAACTATTATGAGTGTCCATATATTATTATGGACCATAAATGAATCAAATTTTGCATAATGCTCCATGTCAGAAAATGTTTATTCAGGTCTTAGATTGTGAAATGAAATATGAACTGCTAGTACCAAGTTTTTAAATGAAATCAAGCAGTTAATTTGAAATTCTAAAGCAAACGCCTATTGTTATATTTTTCCTTTTCTTTGGCTTTAATCATTAACACGTTAAAAGTCTAGCATTACGTTTGTCTTCTACTGACCTGTATAAAGTAAATGATGTATCATTCAAATATGGCATTGAGTTTATGTCTTTTGCTGACCTCTAGAAGGTAAAAGGAGAGTCATTCAAATATAACATTGAGTTTATGTCTTCTATTGACCTGTATAAGGTGAAAAAAGTATGATTCAAATATGGCATTGAGTTTATGTCTTTTGCTGACCTCTAGAAGATAAAAGAAGAGTAATTCAAATATAACATTGAGTTTATGTCTTCTATTGACCTGTATAAGGTGAAAAAAGTATCATTCAAATATGGCATTGAGTTTATGTCTTTTGCTGACCTCTAGAAGGTAAAAGGAGAGTCATTCAAATATAACATTGAGTTTATGTCTTCTATTGACCTGTATAAGGTGAAAAAGTATCATTCAAATATGGCATTGAGTTTATGTCTTTTGCTGACCTCTAGAAGGTAAAAGAAGAGTAATTCAAATATGGCATTGAGTTTATGTCTTTTGCTGACCTCTAGAAGGTACAATGAGAGTCATTCAAATATAACATTGACTTATGTCTCCTACTGACCTGTATAAAGTAAAAGATGTATCATTCAAGTATTGCATTGAGTTTATGTCTATTGCTGACCTCTAGAAGGTAAAAGAAGAGTAATTCAAATATGGCATTGAGTTTATGTCTTTTGCTGACCTCTAGAAGGTACAATGAGAGTCATTCGAATATGACATTGAGTTATGTCTTTTGTTGACCTCTAGAAGGTAAAAGAAGAGTAATTCAAATATAACATTGAGTTTTGTCTTTTGCTGACCTCTAGAAGGTAAAAGGAGAGTCATTCAAATATAACATTGAGTTATGTCTCCTACTGACCTGTATAAAGTAAAAGATGTATCATTCAAGTATTGCATTAAGTTTGAGGGTTATTATGATACAGGTATCAGTTTAGCTTGATTGTAAATATGAATGTCTGTTGATCTTGAAAAAGGGTGTTTACACGTCTAAAAGAATGTTTTACTTCGAACTTTATAAGAACATACTGTACTTGGAGCTATTTCGTCCTTCGTCAATCGTACTCGTTCTAATAGCTATGATCACGCACTCTTGCCCAAGGCCGCAATTATAATCTTAAAAAAAAACTTCTGCGAACGATTACAAGGCCAATCCCAGAACGCATCTTTTAATAGATACTCTGAATACAGATTTCATTCTCTGTGGTACGTATAGCAACACTCCTGTGGACTTAGGCATATATATATATATATATATGGACTTGACGGTTATTTCTGATGTCGCCAATACTTATTGATGTCCTGGCCACACAATACAGGATGATGTAGTCCTGCCCTCTTGGTTTTCTAGCCATACAACCTGACCCTGCCGGGCCCTCTTCAGTAGCATTTTATATTGTAGACCTGAAATGCACCTTATATGTGCATGGGCTAAAGGGCTAGGTCAGAGACCCCCAATATCAAACATAGACGATTACTAACCACAAAAAAGGGCAATCCCTCAGCAGTCCTGGTTACTCTTAATCAAATAAGGGATTGATTCTCATGGTTATAAAACTCGAAATGAAATGTATAGACACTGTATTCAGCAGCACATTGTGGTTCGAATCTTGGATCCTCCGACCTGCAACTCAAACATCTAACAGCTAAATCAGGTCTTGCTCGTTCATTCAGAACGTTAA